AGCACAGGGGATAGATACATTTGCCGTTTTGTAGTTTTGACCTCTACCGTAAACCTACCGTAACCATGCAGGGAGACGTTTTCGTGCGGAGAAAGTGTGACATTTCTAATCAGCATGTCGAATAACACCTCTGTGCGAAGTTACAGCGGATTTTGAGACTTTGACCCCAACTATTATTTGAAGGTTGACGTCATAGAAATTTTCAATGTGCATAATATACAACTTTCACCATATAAAAGCAAAAGTATATATATATATACTAGCTGGCAAATCCGACCCCTCCCGGCCCTGTTCAATAACGTTTTCGTAATCCGTATGCTCACTTACTACCTGTGCCAACGATATCGGGCCCATAACCAAACTTTGCGGAAAATCGATAAAATCGATGTCGATCGGCAACAAAAAAGAGCCTACAGCACTAGCCTCGCCTCGAAGTGTATCTGTGCGAAGTTTTCCGGACCGGCCAGAAATAAGAATTTGTGTTCGGGATATACGTACACACAGACAGACATACAAGAATAGGACAAACAGACATTCAACTTTACATATAAAAGATAATTTTTCGGAGTAAGACTTATAGGAGAGTCTATAGCACAGTTCAGATGCGATCCTTACAGATGGATAGGAAAGACCCCCGTTTCACACGACAGAAGCCAAACAGCCACCCTGGCTGTCGCTTGACCCGCAGCGGCGTCGCGTGCTACTGCAATCCTCTATGGAAAAACCCTGAGATACTTTACGGTCATGCGAGTCGGCCTACATACAGGGCTTATCAATTGCATGTCGGGTGCACCAGCTCTCCACTCTCGCGCGGGACTTGGAATCTCTTCCGCGAGCATGCTCTCTAATCATATCCAATCGATCGAGGCTCCGCCTTTCCCACGCTTGTGGTGGGAAAGTGATCAGAGAGAATGTTCGCGAAAAAGGTGCGGAGTCCAGGCGAAGCGGCCGCGCGGGAGCGAAAATGCTGGTGCTCTCGACAACGCAGTTGATAAGCCCTGTACGCTGGATGAAGCTCGATCACAAAACTGGCCTCATAAACGTCAAGTTGTCAAACGTGAGGAAATGTCACCTGTTCTTCCCATTTTCGGGCGCATTCAATCAATGTCGTATCCAGGGATCGTCCGGCTAGAGGCTACTGCCGGACGAATTCGGAAAAGCAATACTAGTTGAGCGAGCGCGAACGCGGTTGTAAAAGGCAGCGGCTCGGCAGAATGACAACTTGGGATATTCAGGACGAATTCGGAAAAGCAATACTAGTTGAGCGAGCGCGAACGCGGTTGTAAAAGGCAGCGGCTCGGCAGAATGACAACTTGGGATATTCATCGTTGCATGTTCCCCTGGACGAGCTAAGTCCATCACTGTGCTTTGCAGCTATATCAAAAACCCGCATTTCTAGACGCGAAAAGTGCTCTTTGGGCTGACCGAGTATCCTGCCTGGAGCGCGATTGACTCGTGAGTCTCAGAGGACTCACTGTACCTCCCGTACCCACGAGCCAATCGCTCGAGGGCAGGCATACGCTGTCCGCCCAAATAGCACTTTTCACTTCTGGAAATGCGGGTCATTGATATCTCTTGGAGCTGCAAAGCACAATCTTGGACTTAGCTCATCCAGGGGAACCGATAACAATAGATATCCCAGATTTGTCATTCTGCCGAGCCGCTGCCTTTAAAGGCAGCGTCCAGGCAAATCTGGACCTATGGGAATTTTACGTGGGTAATAATTTTGGGGCCCTAACTGAGGCACTGCCTAGCGGCAGCGCAGGTGACCCACTAACGGCTGAGATATACGCCTCTAAACTGGACCCCAGGATCGTTATTCGCATGGATTCATGGCGCAATCCATCAGATTCGCGTGGGTCCTCGCGCGAAGTTGATGGGTTGCGCCATGAATCCATGCAAAATACGATCCTGGGGTCCAGTTCGAGTGGAATATCTCAGCCGTTAGTGCACTACCTGAGCTGCGGTTGGGCAGTGGCTTAGTTAGGGCCCCAAAATTACTATCCACGTGAGATGTCTATATGTCCAGGTTTGCCTGGACGCTGCCTTGAACCCTGCGCCTCGCGCTTTGCGACAGCGAACTTGGGAGCCGATGATATATGACTCAATGCCATAGGTAACATTGCGCCAGGAGTACTGAAAGGAGCCGGTTCTCTTACTGCCTGTGGTCGCATTGCGGGGAGCTTCGCGAAAATTTGACTCCTGACCTGCACCCAGTTTTGGTTTCGTCCGGTAGTAGCTTATATGTAGACGCATAGGGAATAAATCATGAGTACCTCTCACTTTACACCTTTCCAAAATAATATGTACAGTCCCTTATCCCATTACATACTTTCGATACAGTCAATGTCGATTACGTACTCTCTTTCGCATGGAAACGCAACGCAAAAGTGCGGACCTGCAATCGATGAGGCCCATTTGAATGCCAGAGTCATACTCGCGCGCACACGGCGCGAAACTCATTGCGTTTACAGGAGAGGGAGTACGTGATACGGCCCGTATGCACCAAAAAGCCCATGCTTCCTTGGTGAACAAAGCTGTCATATAAGTAAGGAAACGAAAATCAGCGTCTCAGGCTTTAAAGGCAGTGTCCCGGCAGATTCGGGTCCTGCGGGATATACGTGTGGTGGGGTTCCTGGTCACCCCATCGCCCTCCAGGCGCACTCCGGCTGGGTGATGTTCCCCCTGGGCCGAGAAAATGGCCCTTGAACCGGCGCGCGCAACCCCATCTGGCGCGCGCTCGGACGGCCTTCCCCGCCTGTTCGGCGCGGGACCCCACGAGCGCTCTCCCCCATGATGCATGCTATCCAAAGCAAGAATTACAGGCGGCAGGATCTTCGTCTGAGAACCTCCCCCAACTTTCCATCAAAAATCTCGTCCAAGCTGCCTTTCTGGAATTAGGAAGACGCCCCAAAATCGGCCTTTTCAGCCCGTTCAAAGCTCAAATTCAGATTCTACGTGGCGAAAAGGCCTAAAACATGCAAAAAGGTGGAGGTGCAAAATCTGCCGGGACACTGCCTTTAATCAGCGTGCACCACACTTCGTTTGAATAATTTTATGTAAACTCATGAAATTGCCTTTGTACGGTAGATCATCGGGACTGTGAGACTTACTGGCAAAATCAGGGATCGTCCCACGTCAGTGTGTTAAATTGGACCAACAAAAACATCTGGAACCATTTTACGGTAGTGACTGAAAATTGCATATTGTCTCACCTCACCCATTGGTGCCTCGCTCTGTATGATGCAATTTCAGGTTGAAAGGAGCGGAACATCGCAGTTCAATTTCGGTCCGTTACCCTCCTCGGGTGTTTCAAAAAGAATTCGCCCACATAAGAACAACGGCAAACTTGTCCAGTCAACATCATTTGTCGATCCGAAAACGAAGGTTACACAAAACAATCGGGAAAGCAACCGGTCATTTCTGTCCATCATCTCCAAGCTGCGGAATAACTCGTCGACGAAGATCGATGCCGACACCCCGGCAAGAATAGGGCATCGTAAAAAAGAAATCAAGCCTGAAAGCATTCCACCTCAGCAGGAGCAAAACAACGGTGCTCACGAGGAGGTATCAGAACATCCAGCGGACAATTTTGACAGTATCGCTAACAAGACATTCCGAGACGGCATAGTATTGAATAAACTTCCTCTGGAGTACAACTACAACAACGTGAGTTTCATCCATTTTATTCTATAGAGGCAATCTGGACATGGGACGTATAACTCACAGGGGAAGCGTGTTTAGTCAAAGTGGCGTTTCTAAATTAGACTCATACCATTTTGAAGAGCATTGCACGGTGGCTCCAAACCTGCCTTCACTACCTGCCAAGCGCCTGTGGACGCCGAGTTATGACCGTTTTTTGGAACGAGAAATGAATGCAGAATTTAGGTAAAAACAATTGTTACAATCTTTCCAACGCTCAGATAAAGCAATGCTAATTATTAGCGTATTATACAAGATTATCCACTGCATGAACTTCTCTGATACTCGACACAGGACCATTTGAGCAAATTGCGACGTTGCTCCAGTTTTGCGTGCAATTTTTTGACCGCCCATAACTCGGAGTCTAGAGGCAGATAGTGAAGGCAGATTTGGAATCATTGTGCGATACTCTCCAAAGCAGTATGGGTCTGATCTAAAGAGGCCACTTCGACTGTACACGCTTCCCTTGGCAGTAGATTTTTGGCTAACCTAGTGCCATTGTATTGCCGACAATATATGTGCGTCAACAATGGCAATACGCGCCCTATGCCATCTCATAGCTCAAACGCAAGCAAGCTGCCTGCTTCACACGCAATCTTTTATTGTCGCGCAGATGTTGCAGTCACCGCAGGGGCACATTATTGATCGCAACCCTGCAGATCGAACTATATACAGTGGCAGTGTTATCTGTGATATGCTCGAAACAAAAAAAACCTCCTCAATGTAACCGTCGCACCGCCAATGTGCGTGCTCCAGTTCGGGAGAGGTCAAAAGGCGCGATTTCTTTGCAGGTCACCAACTCAAAAGTCTATTTCAGTGTTATGCGAGCCTATAAAATAACCGGAAGCTTTGACTTAGTGACTGTTTGTACATAGTTGCCACTTGCTGCGTTTGACGGATTTGACGAAAGACCGACCTCGATGCTCGAATTTGATATTAATTGCATTTTCAAAAAGTTTTGACATCCAGTTATTTATACCTCGAATTTATTTCGTACTAATGCTGAATATTCCTTGTTAAAATAACTGCTAGTAATAATTACTTGCAACTATCATATTTCCTTACCAATTTGAAATGCATTTAACACATTCACGACAGGGCCGATTTTTCGTTGACTGCCATTTCGGACCAGAGCATATTTCGCAAAACTGAGTTTGCGTAATATTTTCAGGTCACTGATGGACCCTGTGGTCTGAAGTGTTAATCTTTTAGGAAGTACTCGAAGAGGTGTATACAGAAGTTTACTCGGTTCGCCTAAAAAGTTTCACCGTGAACTAACAAAACCAAAAACTTCGGAAAGCATACGACCCACCGGTGGGTCGTATTGTCCGAAATGGCAAAACACGTACGACCCACCGGTGGGTCGTATTGTTGTGTATGTGTTAAAACACTCTGTGTTCAGCTGCGCATTTCTTTCAATTTTAGCGCTTCAGCTCCTATGTTTTCCCAGAAAGGCAACGTCCATTGAAAGCGTGCTTCTACAATCCATCGGGATACGCTTGCTGCAACAGAGATCTCAACGACGAAATTGTCAGGACGTATCAAGTTGGTTCGCTTGCAAAAAGCAGTACATACATGTTCACCTTTACTTTACATTACAGCAGCTCATAAATGACCCAACTTTCAATCCGTGTAATATACAAAGACTCGTAAACACACTGCAGAAAAACTGCGCTCGGAGGTACACACAGTTCTTGGCCTTACCTTGTACCATTACATTATGCCCACACATTACAGATTCAAAATGGATTTCGAGGCGATCGTCGGTTTGAGCGACTACGCCCAAAGAGTGAACTTCAAGAAGGATCTGGTGTGTAAAGTGGAGCTGGGTCAACGGTATGTCAAAGAGAGGCTTCTTGCAGAACAGTCTGAGTGTCTAGCCCCGCATTATGATGCTATCCAGGTTGGCAGAAGCGACCCTGATGCACGTTCGGCTTTAAAGGCAGCGTCCACGCAGATCTGGACCCACGGGGCTTTTACGTGGAAAGTACTTTTGGGGCCCTAACTAGGGCACTGCCCAAGCGGCAGCTCAGGTAGTGCTGTAATGGCTGAGATATTCCCCTCGAAACTGGACCCCGCGACCGTGTTTCGCATGGATTCATGGCGGAAAGAGTGGATCCTGGCGCGAAAATGTCATGAATCCATGCCAAACACGGTCGCGGGGTCCAGTTTCGAGGGGAATATCTCAGCCATTACAGCACTACCTGAGCTGCCGCTAGGGCACCTTAGTTAGGGCCCCAAAAGTACTTTCCACGTAAAAGCCCCATAGGTCCAGATCTGCCTGGACGCTGCCTTTAATACCAGGCCTCATGCGCCTTAGGCCTCTGGGAATCGGATACGTGCTTGTCTGCGCTCATTGCATGTTTGAGTTCATCTTTGTGTCGCTTGAGGCGTACAGTCTGTCCCAATCCCTATCAGCCCATGGCATGGCAGGGTCCCGTTTTACGGGGGTTGCGTCACGTGTACGGCCAGCTTGTCTGCTCTCTCTTCAACCTCTTCGCTCTCTCCGATGTGCACGCTTTCTATGAATATGGTGTATGCCATGTGTACAGTCTGTCCCAACCCCAATCATGCCAAAATTGGCATGGCGGGAGTCCGTTCGCCAGGCCAGGGTTTCGCGTCACGCTTACAACATGTTTGTCTGCTCTCTCTTCATTCTCTTCGTTCTCTCCCACAGTACGCATATGCAGCGCGACCCTTTGGCGTTGCGAGCGCGCAGATCTAAGCCGACTTTTCGGCCTGATCCCGATTGAGACAGACTTTATGCAACCCAAACCCCCTAGCGCTGTGAGCGCGCAAATTTACGCCAGCGGTTCGGCCTCTTTCCGATTGAGACGGACTGTGTGATCTAGGCGCGATAGGACCAGCGCGTCAAGCTCAGCGTACTTATCCTACATCACCTTCCGCCCTCATCCGCAACTAGACCTCCACGACTGCGTCCATCGGAATTATCGGTCTTGTGTCTATCGTTCCCTCGGGCCTTTTCATGCCCCAAATTTCATGAAGTGCAAAATGCGTGGAAACCCTTTGACTAAACCTCTTTCTGGAGGTCTTGCCATCCAGAGAGATGGCGGCACTAGTCCTGCCGTTCAGCCGAAACATTACGAGTACACACTTCGTAGAAGGTCGCTTCGTACTGGCGCAAGTATCCATGAGCCGTCTGTACTAAGCAATGACGGCCAATTCGTGCGGTCGGCGACTCTATAGTGCTCACTGGGGATGGATTTTGAACAGGGTCAAGCTTGTGATGCGACTGTCGCAACGGGGGTCGTAAAGAGGGTACCTAAGGTGGGGGGGGGGGAGGAATTGTAAGAGAAGGTAGTTAGGCTAAAATACCCTAAGCTTAAAAGGAAATCAAAAAGCAGATAATTAGTTATTTTCTTCACAATAAATCTATAAAAAAGTGGAAATCAGATTAAAAAAGATAAAAAATGTGTAGAAATTCTCAAAAAAAACATTTACAAGAGCTCAAAACACTTTTGAAGGATGTATGGTTTGATAAAAATGCTAAATGTACCGATTGCCCTAGAAATCTTGCTTCTGAAGCCCTCCTGAAGTCTCATACACTCGACAAAAGCGAATATCTTTACCAGCTGTGACCATCATAAATTTCTAAATCTTTTTGAGATTTAGATTTAGAGCCCATATGATTTATCTGTACTTTGGAGATGCTCCGCTACATCAGTGCAAAATTTGGTGTTATTTTGTCAACTGTGGATTTTCTTATAATTTTATGTATGGTAGCAAATAATCAGGAAAGGGGGGTCGTATCTGGGTCGCATCTAAATTTCTTCGGAGCTATTGAAGCTTGTTGGCTACAATTCTGCTGTAATATGAGGCCATCCTTCTACTTTCCCTCATAAAAATTGCAGGCTGTTTTATAACTTCTCTGGTAAGTTACAAAATTTTAAGCTCAAAAATCCCAGTTTTTGCTTTTTAGGATCGCATCTAAATTTGCGAGAGTCGCATCTAAATTTTTTCCAGCTTACTGCTCCTCATGAGCTGAAACTTTTTCTATGGATAGTGTGGGCACTAACAGAACCTGTGCTTTGCAACCTCTCAGTCTTTTCCTGGCCGTAGTTACGAATTTTCAAACTACCGTGCTCATGCACGTTTTTGACGTCGTTCTGGACGGCGCTCAAGCGGTTTTTTTCGGCGAAAAACTGTGGAAGAGGTAGGAAGTAAGCTTCTTAGTCGAAAACATTTTTTGTAGTTCAAAAATGTCATTTTTTTCTCCGTGCAAAAATTTATGTCGCCTACGGGAATCGAATTTGCTGGTCTGAAGTATGCCTGAAAATTCAAAAAAAACTTGCAGATTCTCAAACATTATTGAAGGTGTGTTTGTGTGCTATAGATGCTGGATGCACCCACTGGCCTAGAAATTCTGCTTCAGAAACCTCACTGAAGTTCTCACGCAGGTGTTTTTTGAGATTGACATTCGTTTATGCAGGTTACCGCGAGGAATGTGGGCAAGGGAGGTAAGGGGGATAAATGGCGGAGGGTGAGGAGGGGAGGGGGGAAAGGGAGGGGGGGGGGGGGGGTCGTACGGATGGGTACCTTCAGGGGGGGGGGCGTAAATGAGGGTCCCAGATCGCATCTACACGCTTGACCCTGATTTTGAATGCATCGGCCTTTGATGCTTCCTTGTTGCTCCGTTTCACTCCTATTCCACACCCAATCTAGTGCCACGTATAATTCGAGTGATATCGTACAACGCAAAACATTTAGATATATGCTTGTGTATGCTACGCCAAGCGGCGACAGGATGAAACGTAATGAAGACGGATTCAATACTACGGAGGAGGCAATCACCTCGACCACGTTGCATTCACTTGTTCTCTAAGTTATTACCTCAAATTCTTCACTGATTAGAGTGCAAATGTGAGCTTGTAAGTTACTGAAACAATTACAAATGTAATATATATGTATAAGGAGGGTTCAATAACATTAGCCGATAGTTTGATAGGCTAGCGCGAAATTTGTTTCATTTATTCAAACACTTTAACCTCTTCGAACTCGCTCAAATAGTACATTAGACAGAGCTAATCACTTGCGTCACAGACTCACTCTTCATTATTTGAGCATATCATGGAATTCGAAGCTGAATCTAATCAATGAGTTGCTCATAACTAAAACTTAAAATGTTGTTGTTCAAGAAAAGAAATCGCAAAAACGATAGAACAGAGTTTACGAATTGCTCGGTTGTTCATTGACATTACAGTATTGATTTCTGAACCAAGAAATGTTGTATTAAATAATGAGTAACGGCGTGTATTTCATACACTTCAAACCGTAAGAAAGGCAATTCAATGCAGCCGTTTACTTTTCATTCTCAAAGGTTTTCTAAAAACTGCGCTTGACCCACTACTAAAATATACTTTCTTCTATAAGTTGTTCGTAAAATCGTGACGACGGATTTGACTGCGGTCTTTGCGCCCACTGGAGCAGAAAACACTAAGGAAGGCATCACCTCAACTCTCAGCTTACTCTCTTCGGATGTCTAAATGCCGTCATATGTAAGCAGAAAAACCGTTCGAGTAGAGAAGAAAACCTAGAAAATGCGGTTGCCGGGAGATGCGTGCATGTCGCGTGCGGTCGCGCCATCGTCACGATCGAAGGCCCTGTATATGTTTAAGAATACAGAAACCGAAATTTCTTGAAATAGGATAACTTATAAGATATAATATGATTCCTACAAAATTTTTAGTCACTAGGAGTGACTGTCAAACGGTCTATCTCTTTGAAATATAGTCATACATACTCTAGATGTGACACGACGCTTCTAACGTTAAAATAAACACCCAATTGAAGTTTACTATGAAACAAAGAGACATCATAAATAACATAACAATTACTGATCACAGTTCAGCATGCTCGTCTGGGGTAGGCGCCGCAGTAGACGTAATGTTAGCCTTTTCTTTTCTTAGCACCCTTTTTACTTCTTCATCGAGATCCCTCCATTCTGGGATAATTCGAATTGCAGATTCCAATTTGGGCTCCTTTGTCATGGGATTATTGCACTAGAATAAAGAATTTATGCAAGATATGATTGAAAAGGAGTGGAGAAAAACCCTATAATCAAGATGTGCAACTTGCCAAATCAATTGTTTTTGCTTTGCTCTTACTGGCATCATCGCACCACGTCTCACACCATAACCATTCTTGTGGAAGCGACTTGATCTTCACTTGATGAATCATGTTGTTAGGAAGATCCTATAAGTTGCTTAGAAGTACAATGACATCATTCACAAGGTTTATAAATAGCAAACCTGATCAAGATTAGATAGACTGTTAGGATCGCTGCTGAGGCCTTGATACTGCCCTCGAAGACGATCGCCGGCAGCTATTTGACGGAACTTTTGCAGGTCTATCACATAGAGAGCGCTGCAAAGTTCAGGCTATCGACACACACTTGCAAGAACGGCTATCTAACCTAATGTGATAACGCCTTCCGGCTAAGTGATTTGCCCAGTAGCCCTGCTTCCAAAATCGGAATCCATCCATTTCCTTGCGGCTATCACAGAATGGGACATAACTGGAATTTAAACTGCGTATTGCACATTACAGATTTCTCTGAAGCTACGCGAACAACTTTATGAACAACACAAGACGCACAGTGCGTCTTCCAAAATCCAATTCTTTGTCCGTGATCCGAATACGGACTCAATACACAAGTAACATGAGAAGAACTGACAAAGAAATTCCAAAGTCGATGGAAAGATCGTTAAGCGAAAGCTGGGATGGATACAATCTTGCGAAAATTTCCAGTAGGCAACGTTTTTGAGAAGGAAATTGAGAGCATTTTTCCGACAAAGTGAGAGTACTTTGTACGCACATAAAGCAATACTTAGCATGATCTTTGATACACTGCCTAAGTTCATGTCTGCTTTTGAAGTATCCGAATTTAGAAAGAAGGTAATTCTCAAACTGAGTGGCATACTGGATGTGCATTCTTGGACAAAAATATGGCCGTCATTTTCTATCCTATATAAAACCGAACTGATGTCTTTGTCGAATAACAGTGGTTTATAGCATTAGGCGTTAAGTATGGGAAATGATAATGAGTAGTCGAGTCACCTAATGAAGAGCATAATTTTTGTGCAGGAAATTGAATCAATCGAAAACTCAGCACGTCTATTTCGTCTGACAATTTTACGAACTGCAGCAAAAACTTGAACAGTCTTGGCTTCGGACAACACTTGTGCTATTGGCCATATCAACTTTAAAGAAAGAGTAGAAGATGCAGCACAAAGGCTGCTCAGTCAGTCAGTGATGTTCTGCACAGATCGAAAATGCTTTGAATCAGCGTCCCAAACTCTTGCCAACGGTATGTATCTTATGGTATTCAGTTGCTCTGGCTTCGGGACCTTCCTATTTAGTAATGCCATCTTGAAATCAACTCACCCGTATGGTGCTCCTCCTAGATCATATTCCATTAGTTCCATAAGATCTGCTCGAACAACTTGATCAGCATCAACAAATATGATCTTCTGTACATCGAGAGGAAACAGAACATCCAGGAAAAGAATCTCAAACGTAACAGTTCCATGAGGGGGTAAGCAAACTATGTTGAAAGCTGATGTGTTGTACCTTGTACCCCCACATAATTCTATGTTTCTCTTTTTGCTGATGTAACCATCGAGGCCATTTGTACTCTACTAAAGCATATTCGAACCCGTATTCAGCTGACAGCAATGGGAGATTTTTCTAAAAATAGGGGATATCTCTCAGGACAGGACAAAGGACAAAGTCTACCAAAAGCCGAACAAACCTTGAACTGAGGTGAGAGGTAGTTTTTAAGAAGCCAAAATTTTACAGGTTTTTTAGTGTGCTTCATAACAGACAACATCATTATATTCATGAACCTTTCATAGAGATGACCGGACGCCAGGGAGAATACATTGATTACTTTGTGCTTTTCTTGTACCAGACTGCAATCAATAAAGCTTTTGCTCCAACACGAAGCGTTTGACAATAAGCTTCATACTTACTACGCTACCAACTGAGCTCGAACAAACTATTCAAAACTAACGTGTTACTAATGGTGCTCCAGATACCGCCACTCTCTTCGTCATCACTAGCCAGAAGACTACGCTGCTCCATTCCTGGTCTCTTTGCCACTCGAACGCGTATAGTTTTACCAGAAAACGAGTCTGAAGCATACCGATTGCATGGGTGCAAAGCAGTGAGTGTTCACAAACTATAAGGCTACAATAACCAAGTAAACTTTACTACATCAATCCCATACAGAAATCGTAGTTTTAGGAACACACCTATAAGTACCCGCATTGATCCGCTGCTGTTAACGTCACCTTCCATGCTTTCTGATAATTGGTATATATCTTTGGATTTCCCTTCTCGCATCTGCAGTATCCATGCCCCAGGGCTGGCCTGCAAAACGGCAGTGTAGCTCTACGCATAAGCAACACAATCATTTTATACCTTCAGTTGGAAATATCCAAGATTAGCCATCACGATAGTATCGAACCTTGTCGGATGTGCAGGGGTCCCCAGCACAAATTGCAGTCCACGTGGAGGTGAACCGGATACCTCATCGAAGCAATGCCCTTCTAGGAGGATGTGCTCCAACGAAAACTCGGCAAGAACATCAGACTGGGCCTAAAATAATATCATCGTGCCTTTATGCACATCAACCCTACAGATATATCAGTATTTCCAAGAATCAGTCAAACACAATAATCTCGTGAAGACGCGAAACTGTGTGCTGTCTTATACTTATCGAGTTTCTATGTAACAGCGAGTCCAAAATTTTGTGCTTCAAACGATAAGTTTCCTCACACGTTCCAAAAAAAAAACCCATAAAGCCGTTGATTTGCGAGGTTTTTTTAGCGGTAATGAAATGATTCGTTGGTTTGCACCCAACGCAGACAAAAACGAGAGTGCGCTAGTTCTGTACGGAACCAACCGATTCCATTCGAATGTTGTCAAGATCAGCTTCGGCATAGACACTCTCGACCATCCAAGCATTTGGAGAATGAACAGAAAGAGTAAGCAATTGCTTTGATGGCAGGTTTGTAAATCTGAAAATACACTGTTATCATCAAATACGTGTTGATATTATTACTCAAAAACATCTCAAGGTGTAACTGACAAGGGAATGGTCAGAAGTCGAAGTAGCCAATCCATTACAAGCTGCATACCATTAGATGCAGCATAAAACGCTGACTCTAAATCTGTCTTCCTTATCTGCAGAGCGCTTTCGTGGACGAAATTATAAGCCGTTGAAGGCCGTTATTTTGCCAAGAAATGGGGTTGTTGTGCAAACATGGCCGTACAGAGCTACTCTCGACTCAGTGTTGGGACAAAACATGCAACTAGGTCACTTCATATGAACCGTACCTAGAGGTGAGCTGAAAGAGCAATAATGTGCCTAATTTCGCAATTTTTGTTGGCTTTTTCGCAGTAAAGCTGCTCATAATTTCGCCTACAAAGGCGCTCTGCAGATATCGAAGACAGATTTGAAATCAGCATTTTATGCTGCATCGAATAATATGCAGCTTGTATGGATGGCCACTTCGACTTCTGACCATTCCCTTGTGAGCATCTGCTTCAAATTGAAGATTCTGTTCACAAACATACTTAGCTTGATTCGCGGCTACGTTGCCAGCCTCGTCAAATTGCAGTTCAGGTGCTCCGACATATCGGTAAAATCTAAACTATAGGTTATACCTTGGTGTGAGGGGAATGTTCAAACTAACTCACCTTTTGAGAGGTAGCTCGCTGAGTTTCCCTTTTGGATTGAGCACAATCTTCAAATCACAATTCACCGCTTTGCGCAATAGATCGAGGATTGGTGCAAGCTTCTGAGCACTTCCAGATAGAGGATCCACGACAGCAACGACGTCCATGACAGGTCTATTGGAATCTTCCGCAGGAAGCGTCACGGTGCTATAATAAATTATAAAGTTTACACAAAATGAAGTGATAAACCCGATAGGCACTTGGACTAATACTCAGATCTCCCATCAGTTGACACCGAGCATTCAGAAAGAATACAAAATGAAACATCCAAATAGCAATTTATGCACTCGATATTCAATTTGGCCATTGGTCTGTAAGATAAATTCACTGTGAACCAAGCTGCAACAATGTCACTCCATTTCGCTTATTCACCGGCACCATTAAGCTTTCAACTTAATCCTGAGCATATGGTCATTCCCAAATTCGTGTTACGTGGCTTGTTGTCATATTTTTAGTTGTAACTGGAGCACATAGCTATTACCAAAGGGTAAGTCTTACAATTAGACAGAAAAAAAGGCAAATGTCTGTTCTGCATTTAGTGACGTAGCCACCGAAACTGGAGGTGACGATGCGTAGTGCAAAAGTCGGCAAGCGGTTTAGAGGGCTATATAATATTAACAGTAGCGCTCTACTGCTCCAAATACTTTGACACCACTACTACTTTCTTGCGAAGAAAATTCAGCATTTTCGGATATATGTAATTTTTGTAGTCTTTGGACTTGATAACTAAGTATCACGAGTCAAAATTCTGCGAGCGGGAATGTAGCAGAAGCTAGCAAACTATGAAAGGCAGAGCAGTATGAACAAGTGAGATCCCCACTTTTGAAACTTCTCTTACTTTGGTGTGTGTTAAATATTTCCACTGGACTGAGGTTCCTCCAAGAGACATGCATGAGATTACCACAAGATATAGCTTTCGGTGTAAGAATGTGCGCAACAAAAGTGCCAGTTTGATTGAATTGTCATTGTACTTTTCAAAGAAGTACCAACCTATGCTCATCTTCTCCCAGCACAACCCATGTTCTTCTGCGTTGAACAGCATATTTCGAAATCAAGGCAAAAGCACGCATCACAATATCCGATGAAAAACCATCTTCCTTAGCAACCTTCCAGTTGTCGACGTTTTCTGCGATGACCTAGAAAAAAAACCTGAGTTAAACTCTACCATTGGGTAAAGACGTACACTTGCTCCTTGAGACTCGAAGATCTTCTCGAGCAACTCGAAATCAGCGTCAATTACTTCCTCATCCTCCTCAAATGGACCCACAACGATTCCATTGGCCACAACAGCCCTTTGACCAGGTAACAATCCAACCGACTCCTGGGCGAACCTATAGTAGAGGTAGAGCACTTAATCACAAGAGACAGTGGCAGGAAACTAGGACTGGTAAGCAAAACAGTGAAAAACTATTGAAAAATGCAAAGATGAAGACGTACAATCTGTCCATAATGATGCGGTCATATGATAAACTTTTTCGTTCTTTATCAAAACGTTCGGAGTTGACTTCCTTGTTGAGAAGACTTTTCACATTCTTGGAACCAACACGGATGTCCTCCACGTTTTCCAGCTAAAAAATCATAAAGTTCACCAACTGCCAGTCTGTGACCAACGATAATCACCTTCATGAGCTTGGCCACGAAATCCCTGGCGTGCTCATGAGGAAGAAGTTGAACTGCTGCATGAACCAGTGATGTGAGACTGTTTGCTTCGCGAGATAACTCTTCGTCTTTGGGATTCATGATAAGTCCGAGCTGAAAAAGAAAAGAGATAGGAGACTGAGAGATTATTTCGAGATGAACATAACTAAAAAGAATCCAAGATAGGAAGATAAATTTCATCCAAACAGCCTATTGCAATGATCGCATTCGTGTTGCCAGATAATATAAGCAATGGTTATTACAACGTACACGAATCTTATTACTCCTGCTTATTCGTTTCAGAGCACTGTCAACGAGTTCACGTCCTTTCGAATCATCCAAGTCAGCAATGACCCACAATGTGAGAATCTGCAACAATGAAACTACATATTGTTCAAATTCCAAAAGAGGTAATCAGAACGTACTGCCGTCGAATCCTTTCCACTCTTCTTGAAGTACTTCATATTACTTAATACACACTGTGTTTGTTGCGGAGTGCTCAACTTGGCAAAATCCGCATACTCTTTTACTTTACAATCTGAACAACCACGTCCGAACTTTGAACAAAAACCGAAGTTTTGAAGATACAAACCTGAGGGGGACGAGAGATCTAGAATGCTTTTCTTGGAAACAGCATTCAAAATACGCTCATTGTGACGTGGCATAACATCTTTTTGTTCCATTATCCAGTTGCCGACGTTCAAGCGGTCTTTGAGTTGACCTGCAACTCGGCGCATAGATGATCTACTGATGCAATTCCAGAAATCTATTGCAAATCCATGCATCCAGCATTTGAGATTAGTAATGGAAAGCATAACCACAGCTCACCGTTGATCACAGCAGTTTGCAGCTTTGGAGTAATGCGCATCACTTCCATCATAACAGTCTCTTCAAACTTATCACCAGTGATCTTGAATATAGAGAGCTGATGACTAGGTCGACAAACATGGAAAACTTACGCCAGCATCGTCGAGTATGTAACCATTGAGAAGCACTTTTGGAGCTTTGCCTATGGCAGATTTCCTCAAAAACTCCATACCACCCTGAAAATGGGAGTATTATCCACTTGTCTAGTATTTTCCCAGTAGCTAAAAAGACTATAAAAGAGCAACTGACCGTTTTTCCGCGATCATAGTCAGTGTTCGGACCAAACACATCCTTATAATCGGCGTCACTGTAGTTGTCCTCGAACCAACTCTTGATATCAGCAGGATCAATGCTGTCTTGCGTACGATACTGGTCTAGCATCTGCAAGCAGAGGAGCTGATTTTTGGTGTACAAATTGAAAGACTATGAACTGCACCTCGTTAACTATTTTGAGTGCTTCGTGGTTGGTGCTGTCTATGGCAAGAAAGTTGAACAGATTAAGGATTGCGACGCCACTGTCTTCCAAACCGCTTACTTTCTTGTCGTCATTGACAACAAAGATTAACCCAATCCTAAAAATGCTCTCTTCTCTCCCTCAAAGTATCTAGAAACTTTCAAGCCATACCGTAGAGGAATTTCGTGCTTGAAGAATGAGTATGCTATCTGCATAAGGTTTCTGCCGTTACGCTCTGCGGGATCCACAACAAAAATCTGTGAAATCTTGAATTAAAGAAGCTGTTAGATTGTTATAAATTTGTCGGACCAAGTTGAAGAGATTCCGTGCAATTGGGCGAATCATGCCAGGATAGTAGGGCTCCAACAGCAACTTGACGCTGTTCCTCCAGTGTTTGTAACGTTTATCGGTATCAAGGTTGTTGAGATACTGAACATGATGTAAGATGGGAAAACATAAACGATATTATGACCTCATTTCTAAAGCACCATGTCCATCAGCCAAACTTCATTTTGATGTAACTGATCTTCGTGAATGTATAACACATCAACATGTTAGCTTTGAAGGACTGGCTCTGTTGCTCCGCTTCCGCAATGCAAAAATATTACGCTAAAAATAACCTACCACAAGATCTGCATCTCTGTAGTCAACCGCATACCTGCCTTTTTCTTCAGAAAACTCCATTCCAGTCAAGATAGAGAGGTATTCCCGCTGCAACACAGATTTACTAAGATGTTCCACCAAATGTTCTGTTATACCTGGAAACCCATGTTCGAGAAGCCAGAAGCAACACGCTCCTCCTGCTTTATGGTATCCACGAGTTGGAACATGTCCAAGCTGTCAACATCGAGACCAATCCCATTCAAAAACAGCATTGACTCCCCAGGGCTCAGTCCTGGAACAATTTCATATCCTGCAACCAAGAAAGGAAAATCAAGCATTACCGGCTTCGGAGAGATGTTCCTTTTGATTCAGCTCGATACCCTGCCTCAATTCGCGTGAAACGCTCTCGCGCGCTATGGATCTGAACACAGCCAAGTATGATCTAGAATAAGATAGTCAACAAATCTATACCTTGCATGCGTTGGAAAATTCTGGGACAACTCCTTCAACGTTTCAAGGGCGTGATAAGCACCTTCATTGACAATGCGTTGGGACGCCTGAAAAAAGACAGTACGGCAGTAGCGGACGTATACCAAGGAAACTTGTGCATGATTCTATCAAAAACATGCAATCTCTCTGCTTTCGTTACGAAGCAAATAGCAGAGCGCGGTCACCTTTCTTATTTCAAATCATGTCACCAAACGATGACGGTCAAGTTCTAAGGTGTAGCAAAGAGCTGAGAAACTGGCGGACACGAGGCGCTAAGGTTCTAAGACTCTCTGAACTATTTGACAGCTTTCGCCAGTTTTCTGCAGTGTGTTTAATAACCATATCTGCGCTGCTTGTTCCCATTTGGCTCTTTTTCTTGGCCTATCCGCTTGAGCTTCGGCGATAATCAACGACCAGTAGGATCAACACACAAAAAAAGGAGGAGTAGGAACAACCACCGTTTGGGTGGTCCAAAGCATCCCACTGAATCGCAGAAACTGCGCGCAACTTGGCGTTTTGTCAGATCTTCACGAATTTACCGTGCGCAGCTCTTACACGCTTCGCGTAGCTTTTATAGACTGTCACAAATGCTCTTGCCCTAGCAAAGCGCTTTTACGACCAGTGATTAAAAGTCGTTGCATGCAACTGCGCAAAGACTGAAATCGCGTAACCTATGCCACTACCTGACACTCGTGAACCACTGGAAGCGGAAAGATAACGCATGAAACAAACTTTCGTTAAACACTAGGAACTTTTACGAGTTGTCAAGAACAGAACTTAACGTCTGACTGAAACAAAGTAACAGACCGAGCAGAAACTTTGAATATTACCTGGAATGAGAGATCCTGAACCTGCCATTGCTTTAAAGGTGCTAATTCTTCAAATTCTTTCAAATGAGTGCGGAAGGCATCCAATGATTCAATGGCATCAGGATGGAGCTCTCTGAATGAAAAAACTTGCCTAATTATTAGCACGGTAGGATATGAATACAAACTTGAGGAGTTTGAAATTGAAACCATGGAGACTGCTCTCCTCCGCCTCCTCTTTCTTCTCGTTACTGTCATCTACAGCCTTGTACTCCGTATTTTTGATAGCAAGTTCGACACCATATCCTGACAGCGAAACAGGACGTGCATCCTGAAGTCGCATTTTTGAATTCAGACAATCTGCTGACTTATCAACTCACTATCGTGTTTTTCTGGAAATGCCGCAGCACGTACTGTGCTTTATGAGATGCTGACAGTTCAAAAGCTTTATTATGCAGCTCCAACCAGTCTTGAGTACCAATGTCACCGTATATGATGACAACTACCTTCGGCGACGTTTCTTTCCCATAAACATGATCGGTGGATAACAGCTCTGGTATCTCCCTGAAACGATTGGCTCCATTTCCAATTAACAGCAGCTCGACAAGGAAGTAAAAAATTGGCATAAAAACTGAGCGTTCCTTACTTATGTGCAACCATTCCTTCAACATTTCGTACAAGATATATGTCTGTGCAAAATAAACACACCTTTGTGATGCAGAATCTACGGCGTCCTCTAATCCTTTTGCAGTGCACCCGGTGGTACCATGCACGTCGAAGAAAGCCGCACAATCCATAGAGTAATCGGAAGCAATCTAAATAAGACCTTAATCACAGACATGGGAATGGAAAAGTTCGTCAAATAATATAAAAAGCCTTATGACGCACCTGATGGAAAAGGTGAACAGCAGGAGAAAACATTCTGTAGGAAAGTGAGAGTTTCAAGATATCCAATGAAGCTTCATCGAGAATTCCTGCGGCTACTTCCACAGCAAACTCATACTTTTGCTCATCACTAGCTGAAAAATGGATTGTAGCAAATAACCGGATACTAAGCTTGCGTTTGATATAACCTTTGCCCCAATCCAACTTTGAGGATTTCGCAGCTATGTCGTTGGTAAACTTCCAAAATAAGGATCCATCTTCTTTTGCGATAAATTCGCTGAAAAACGAAATTCATTCCCGCTCCATAATACATAGTTCCCAAATAGTTTTACCATAAAGTCTTACAGATAAGTCCGACAGAAAAATCGATGAAAGTGCACCCTTGCACCGCCAAGAATCTTGCAGATAAGTCTTCCCATCATATTAGTCCGCCTACAGGTAAGTCCGGACTAATCTGACAGTCTACGGACTTATCTGACAAGATTTCAGGGTAGTTATAGTGGAAAGAAAAGGGATTTATTTGGAGGCGGACTTATCTGAGTCAAGCGGACTTATCTAGGTGCACTTATCTGTAGGGGACTTATCTGATGGGAGGACTTATCTGTGAGATTTTAGGGTAGTTGGAAATATTGCAACTGATAGACGTCAGTAAATGAGAGATAATAATTGAAGTGCAATGAAGCATGACATACATGTGAGATTATCGGTCTTAACTTCCGATGGCAGGGCTACACCTATCTTTGTTAAGAACATACTAAACTGCCAGCACGTTATTGGTCACATATAGAATTGCTCCAGCAAGCGAAGTCACTGATTTTTGCCCATCGAAAATGCGCATTGTAGAGCGCGAAAATGGCGAAAAACGGCTCTAATACAGGAGGGAAATGAGCAGGTGGGCGGGGTCCTCCCCACTGCGAATTCACGTTCCCGGCTTCCGGAGCGACCTTCTCGCTTCCGGTTTCAAGTCAATCATTCGCAGGTGGCCGGTAGCGATGTTAGGACGGCTAGCGGAATCGAGAAAATCGCTCCGGGAGCTGGGAGCGTGAAATCGCACTGGGGAAAGCTCCGCCCACCTGCTGATTTCCCTCCTGTGTTAGAGCCCTTTTTCGCCGTTTTCGCGCTTCCCAATGTGGATTTTCGGATTCTGCATGGCGAATAGGCCCGTATAAGCACCAAATCTCAAAATCGAGTTTTCGCCCGGACACTGCCTTTAAACGCAAATCATTCGACTGGCAGTTTGTTCGCAAAACCTACTCACTGAAAAACTGCGCGGTCTCAGCTGCTGCGCATAAACGCCGCGAACAGGTGAGAGATAGATAACATGACTGAAAGAGCCACGTTATCCGAACACCAAAAAATTGTGTTCCATTTGCTAGGTATTCAGCTTGATAACTCCCTTATTCTAGCAAAGAAAGCACAGGATGAGGAGTAATGAGAGAAAAGCTTCTTGAAGAAGCTGAATCGCGCGTTTGCCAATACAAACCGACCATTGTTATAAGCATAACCTTGACTGCCCTGACTACAGGTATGTGACATGATCAGAGAACGTGAAAACTGCCAAAGCAAGAAGCATAGCTTCCTACACAGAAGATAGCTTTATGCAAACATCCCAGGCTTCGAGGGCAACATTATCGAAGGTAACAAATACGGATGAATGAACTGGAAATGAAGAGCAAACCTGGTCTCAGCCACTATTGATGTTGAATTCCATTTTGAGGCAAGAGAAGTTATCACAGATTTGTCTTTATGGTCGCTGGTTACTCCGGAAATACATAGTGCCAATAATAACTGTATGGCAAATCCGTTCCAGCTCATCCACGCGTTCAAGTTACCTAAATAAGCATTAATGATGCTGACACATTAGCCACTAAGATAAAGCACAACTTCAGAACGATTTCAAAGCCAGGTCTTTGAAAAGAAATTCTACGTGGACAAGCAGAGATTACGTTGCTGTGCTCCACTGCGAAATCGGTCCTATTAGAGCGCGTTACCTTGTCAGGACACAACGTTCAAAAATAAAGATGAGATTATTCCTCATTATAGACTGTCGATCACGTTCCTTGAAACTTACTTTTTCAACAGTGAATAAAATTCATCAACATTTGTTCATTTTATTACCAAGTAGTTCCACGGATTTGTACTAGCGAAGCAGGCGAATGTAAAACCTAATTTCCCTCCCAGCGCCTTGAACACCTGCATAGGCGTGCCGTTGTCGCGAGGCACCCTACTACAAGCGGCCTCATTCATTCGTTCATGAATTTTGCGGTCCAGATTCATGGTGATTTTCTAATCGAAAGTGGCTGAATCTTACATCTGGTGGTGTGCGCTCACTGTCGGTTGTAAATAGTCTACAGCGCTTGACCCCACGTCTCCAGCCACTGCGAGTGTTGGTGTTCGAAGCTAGGTGCGGGCAATTGAATTGGTATCACAAGGCATAGAAATGATAGTATCAGCCATTTCAAAAGAACATTGCGCATGTGTACTCTACAAGTTCGTACTAGTCACATAAGCTTATCGTGGTCGCCAGGCACAATCGGTCTCGCTAAAATTACAAGCTCCTCAGGATGCTTTGACATGTATCTTGCGACCCGGTCAAGAAGTATTTGAAATTTGATGGAATTACTAGTGCACCGGAGACGTAGTGTGCTGCATGCCCAGAACGGTCGGAGACTTTTGGTTCTGCATCTCATTTGATGCACCTATAGGTGCATCAAATGGGGAACCGCTTTTTTTTTCAATTTCTCACTTCCACTAGGTACCCGTTGTCTAATGTTTGTCTTTGTCTCTCCTCTACTCTTTTTTGTTGTTGTTATGCTATTCATTCGTTCTATATCATGTGCAGGGGAAGAGGGAGGGAGAGAGAGAGGGAGGGAGAGGGGGAGAAAGAAACAAAGAAAAAAAAAGAGATAGATAGTTTACCCTGTTCAGCTTTGAGGAAACTCAGAAATTTCAAAAGAATGCAGTTTTCCGCCTCCTTTGAGAGATGGAAAAAGACGAGTACATTTCAACTATTTGAAACATATGCTAGCGATTTTTTTGTAAGTTTCAATCCTAGCGGCCCTGCACGATTTAAGCTACACAATGAGTTAAGTTTGCGCTATCGTACTACATTCCAAAGTAGGTTTGTCTCGAAGTGAAAGTTTTCCAGTAAAACTTCTGGGAATGTTTGGGTTTTTTGCGGTCCACATCTACACAGTATAAAGCTTGCAAAGCTCCAAAACTTCATAACTCCATAAATGGAGCGAGCTCAGTAGTTACGACGGTGCATTCTTCTTTTCTGTTCATTATGGGATTTCTTGATGAATCCAGCACCCCTTTGGTGTCTTTTACTCTTTTATATCGTTTTTCGTTCCTAAATTTGATAGCGAATTATGAATTATGAACAATTTTCTTCGATGCTGATCGGTATACAGGGGTTATCAAACGCCGTGTCGCTTGCATCAGCAAGCGACACTGCATCTCTTCCGCGAACATGCTCTCTGATAACTTTCCCAGGGCGAGCGTGGGAAAGGCGAAGTCTCAGTCGATTGGAAGTGATTGGGGAGCATGTTCGCGGAGGAGCGCGGAGTCCAGCGCGGGAGTGGAGATGCGGATGCAAGCGACACTGCGTTTGATGAGCCCTGTACGTATTGTGGCAAATTTTCGCGCAAACTTTGTGGCAATTTTCGCACCCAACGCATGATAATGCGAGGCTGCCGTGAGAATCCTTAGAAAAGAGATTCTGGACGACTACGGCACGTTTACGGTAGCTCAGCTGGGCGTTGGGGCGAGATAGCGCTACACAGCAAATTGAGCCATTCTACTTATTCTGCACAAATAAAAAGATAAATGTAGATGAAAAACGCATTTCAAGGGTGAATGAAAGATCAAATGTAAGGAAAGGTCTGTAAAGTAACCCGCAGTAAAAGAAGACGAAATTATACCTCTTAAAAAGTCATTGACGAGGAATTTCTGTCCCTACTTTCTATTAATTCTCGTGTCCCACTTCTCTTGAACACTTTTGACTTAAATTCAGCTTTAAATTATCCGAGATTCAACTTTTGGTTTCTAAAATTTTTTCTCTCGTTTCTAAAATTCATATATATTTTCAAATCTCTTTATTGCAATTGTCTTTATTTTCTTTATCGCATTTCTACAGTTTGAACAAGTGGTAGTAGGGAAATGACACAATTTGCTGGCAGGAGCAAGCCATTCCTGCGGCTGCAATTAGAGGCGACGCAACGCAAATGGCCCTCAGGGTATACCGCAGGGGAATGCGGCGTAACTTTGCTCCATAACGCCCCTCCCGCGCCTGCTCGGGTAACACTTGCACGTCTCCCTTGCATTCTTTGACTCTCAGACTTCTCTGTATAACTACGCGTTAAAGTGTGAAACATTTTCAATAACTAACAAGAAAAAGATACCAGATCGCAATGGCGAACCGAAATAATATGCATACCATTAGATGCGTATTGATGAGCTAATTCCAAATCTAACCTCTGTATCTACTAAGCTCTTTTAAAAAGAAGTTATGAGCCTTTGAATGTCCAAATTTGGCAAACATTCAGTGCTACATCTTCAAAACTAATTGTTCAAAAAAATTTATGTGTTCGGTATATGTATGCACTCCTTATAGTCAATGCACTCAAAACCATACCAATTATTAATCATTCTCAAGATGGTTTTCGAAGCACATTACGCATTGAAACCCCAGCGACTTCACACCTTTGAACGCCCACAGCTTTCTTAGAGGATCACTTAGCAGATAAGAAAGATAGATTTGGAATCAGCCCATCAAAACGCATCCAATGATATGCATATCATTTCGGTTTGCCACTGCGACCGTATCCTTCTTTTGTAAAACTTATCCTTTTCGAAGAGAAGGCCCCCGCCAGAGTGCCGAAGCCACGCCAGCGCTACGCCGGTGCCGAGCCGGTGTTTCGATCGATACACATGTATTTCGATGGGGCGGGGCCCTGATGAGAACTAGGTCAGCTAGCCCCGCCCCAACGAAATACATGTGTATCGATCGAAACGCTGGCTCGGCGCCGGCGTAGCGCTGGCGTGGCTTCGGCACTCTGGCGGGAGCCGAAGTATCACTGCATTTTTTGTTGTGTTGCAGTCGATTCACAGATTCAAAACACTTTCCATGAAACCTTTCTGTGAGCGGTAGATTTGCCATATAAATCCCACCAATTCTCTCTCCGACTCGATCATATTTTGCCCAGATTTACTAATTTGAAGTTTTGAGCGGTCACCCATTTGACTTGGTAGTCTGTGTTGGCTATGACTATGGAAGATGCTCCACCAACTTTCGGACGATGACGACGACGTCGAGACTAGACTGCTCCGAGCAGATATTTTCCCTGACTACGCACGCATGTTTGTTGTATAGCAGACTTACTGGCCACATTAAGAACTCCCTGGATTTTGAACATAGACTTATGTGGTGCTATAGCTTGACTACTATACTTTGGAATATTCGAGAATTTTTTCGAATAATCGAATAACCGAATATACTCGAAAATCAAAAATGTCAAATAATCGAATTTCGAATATTCAATTCAAAAAATGGCGAGTAATCGAATATCGAATATTTTCGAAATAAGAAAATCGTCGAATAATCGAATATCGAATATATTCGAATTGAAGAAAATTCGAATAGACGAATATTTTGCATTGATTATGTCGAATATTCAAACAAATTTAGATCGAATTAGCACAATGAAGGACTACATGCAGTGGGCAACTTGGACAACAAACGATGGTTGCTGGTATAGCAGTCAAAATTGTGACGCTGTCATGTAGTTATTCGATTATACGAAATTGTCCAATAATCGAATAACTTCTGAAAATATATATTCGAATGTTCGAATATTTTCGAAAATCAAATTCTTCGAATAACCGAATAATCGAATAAATTCGCAACTGACAAATTTCGAATAAGCGAATATCGAATATATTCGAGATTTTGAAATTTTCGAATAATCGAATTTCGAATAAAATTTATTCGAACTTTATTCGAATACTCGGATATTTATTCGATTCGGTCCAAAGTACAGTGACTACCCCGTGGTGAGGTTGGAGCTTTCCCTTCAATATCAGCGATCATGCAAGTTTATAAGAGCGCCTTTCACCTCTTTCATCGTGAAGTTCAGATTCCATTATTCTATTTGAATCAAACAAGAGCCCAACTTCTCAAACCAGGTATGTGCTGGAGCAAATCGACTTTCGATGCTTTCAAAAGCAAGAAATGCAGTGATCGCCTTCGAATAGGAAGACAGATCGTAGTTGTTGAGAAGATTTCATACTTTCAGACGCAGCTGTGCAAAAATTTTTTTGAAAGCCAATGAATGCAATAGCGGTCGAAAAAAGCAAGTGGATTCATAACCGTCCAGCCTTCATTACAAGCTTTTTCAATTATTCTGTTTTTCTTCGTTCGAAACACCAGGAACTGGTTTCAAAGTTGGCACTCCACTGTCCAAATTGTACCCATCACGAATACTCCTGCATCAAGTTCGTTTCATTCGCCCACACTCGATGCATATTGAGAATACGCTTGCTAATACTTTGATGTCTTAGTAGACTACCGCCTCCTTTTAAACACAAAATGTTCATATCGTGGACACATCAAAGGTGGAATTTATCGTAACATCATTGCTGAAGCATTTTATAAGAAAAGCAAAGATTCCTTCTGAGATGTTCTTAACATAGAAATTCTACAGCATTTTACGACAAAGAAAGGGCAGAAACTACACTGTGTGGTTTTCGGAGCTGGCTCACGCGAAGACTATAACGTAATATGTTTAGTAACACTGGAACTAATACAACTCTGGTATGTGCATATCTTCTCACTCTGTCACAGATGGGGAAAGAGAACCAACTTTTTTTTAGATATCCAGATAATTGGGAGAGTACGCTCATGCTGTTAGGAGATGCCGATGTTGACTTCACATATAGTGCATCCCCCTAGAATTGTTCCAATATGAACCATCATCGTGCCTGCCCTTTGATCGTTTTAACATGTCAACTTCGAATGAACCTTATACAGGGTGGGGCAAAAGTCTGGGAGTCCACTTTGCAGCGCTGTAAATCAAGAAACTACTGATGATTTTGATTTCAAATTTGTGCCACATATTGCTGCGATCATTCTCTACAAAACACACTTTGGCTAGCTAAAAAGGCTTGCCATACGTTTTTGTAGGAATTGGGTTTATCAGACAAGTGCTCTGCAAAGCGAGAAAATCGAAGTTTTTGGTCTTCACAACTTAATTCTCGTAGCTAAAGATATAATGGAT